GTAAATTTTGGAGATCAGCCCTCTGTCAGATGTGAAGTTGATGAATATATTTTCCCAATCCACACAAGAACATCTGTTCAATGATGTTCATTGCAGCATTATTTGTAATAGCAAGAACCTGGAAACAACCTAGATGCCCCTCAACTGAAGAATGGATACAGAAAATGTGGGACATTTACACAATGGAGTACTACTGAGTCGGAAAAAAAAGTGGAATCTTGAAATTTGCAGGCAGATGGATGGAACTAGAACAAACCATTCTGAGCGAGGGAACACAGTCACAAAAAAGACAAACATGGTAAGTACTCACTCATATGTGGATTTTAGACATAGAATAAAGGATTGCCAGCCTGCAGCCCAGGCTGCCAGAGAAGATAGTAAACAAAGGGACCCTAAGAGAGACATATATGGTTCCCTGGAGAAGGAGAAATGGATGAGATCTCCTGAGCAAATTGGGAGCATGGGGAAAGGGGAGAGGGAACTAGGAGAATGAGAAGGGGAGAAGAGGAGGGGTGAGCAAGACATGATGGGGAAGGGAGGTTGAGTTGGGGGAAGAACAGAAGAGAGCACGACAAGAAACAATATAATAGAGGGAGACATAGGTTTAAAGAGAAATCAGGCACTAGGGAAATATCTGGAGAGCTACAAAGATGACACCAACTAACAATCTAAGCAACAGAGGAGAGGCTACCTTAAATGTCCTCTTCTGATAATGAGAGTGATGACTAATTCATATGCCATCGTATAGCCTTCACCCAGCAGCTGGTGGAAGTGGAAGCAGACACTCACAGCTAAACCTTGAACTGAACTGTAATCCAGTTGCAGAGAAGGAGGACTGATGAGCATAGGGGTCCATATCAGGCTGGTGAAACCCACAGAAACAGCTGACCTGAACAAGGGAGAGCTCTTGGTCCCCAGACTGATAGCTGGGAAACTATCATGGGACTGATCCAGACTTCCTGAATGTGGGTGTCAGTAAGGAGACCTTGGAAATCTATGAGGCTCCTTGTAGTGGATCAGTACTTATCCCTAGCATAGGAATCGACTTGGGAGCCCATCCTACATGGAGGGATATTCCCTGAGCCTAGACACAAGGGGGTTGGCCTAGGCCCTATCCCAAAGGATATGACAGACTTTGAAGACCCCCTATGGAAGGCCTCACCCTCCCTGGGGAGCAGAAAGGGTATGGGATAGGTAGGGTGTTAGTTGAGGGGGGGTTATTGTTTGGGTGTTAGGGGAGGAGGGGAAGGAGAGGGACCTGAGATTGACATGCAAAATACTCTTTATAATTAAAATAAAAGAGTGTTTGTATAACCTAAATATCATTTCTTACTAGTTGCACTATAGGAAATGAACAAGACAGAGTTAAAACAAATTTATAGTTAAATAAACTGTCCAAAGACCTCACGTTGATTCAAGCCAGGTAAGGTTTTTAACTCTTAATTTTCCTAAGGATACTTCTTTCCAAGTTCAATTTCAGAAATTTCTGATTTGAGATTATAGACTTATAATGATGAAATATGGTGGTAAAGATTAAAGGATTCCTCCCTTTGAGTCTTTTCAGTTATCTGTATTTTCTAAAACCAATTTTTGCTACAGTGAGCATATATAAGGATTAAAGAAAGACAGATGAAAGAACACAGGAGAATTCCCACCTGTTCTTGGGTGAATTAAACATGTGTAAGACTCAGCAAAAGCCCAGTGTCAAGGATTTTTTGGAAAGAAAGCTACGACATGGTTCTAAATCACAGGTATGGGACTGACTATGTGGGATCAGTAGTGGAGAATCATGTTAGGAACTATCACTATCTGAAGTCACCACATCACAAAAGAACACAAAACCATCAACCAATCTACAACCTATTTAGTAAAATTTTGGGCAGTGAAGTGTAGTATCAATTGTCACAGCAAAGCAAATCCAAAACTCAAACACCAAACAAGTAATGTTAGAGAGATTAAAGTCTACACTTTTTGTTGAAATTCTTCAGTAACCATTGGGGAGAACTTCCAGTCACAGAAAGGAGCAGCAAGCATTTTGGCTCATAATATTTCTCAGATAGCTAGACCTATCTGTGATGATATATTATTTATGATTTAATAAAGATTTCCTAAAGTATCAGAATAAAAGCCACACTAGTTAGCAATGGAAGATGGGCATTGTTGGCACACACCTTAATAGCAAGACTCGGGAGACAGAGGTAGATGGATCTCTGTGAGTCCAAGGCCACCCAGGGTTATACAAGATTGAATCAGTCTAAAATAGAGTTAGAGCTCATGCTTTTAGTCCCAGCTGTAGCAAGGTGTATAAAAGACAGGAGCCCAGTTTCTCTGAGATTTAGTCTCCAGCCATGTTGAGGAAAGGCAGCAGGCTGAGGCTTGGAGGAGAGCTTGTGAAGACAGGATCAACCCTTTCAGTCTGAGATAGAGGTAAGAGTTAGTGCCTTGGCTGCTTTGCTTCTCTGATCTTCAGCTTGACGCTTGAACCTCAATATCAGTCTCTGGATTTTTATTTTCATGTTATACCTATCAACAGTTATTCTCTTTTCTTCTCAATGTCAGTCAACAACAAACTCTGTTAGGTTGTTTTGAAGAGCTTCTGTCTAAATAAAAATGATATACTGAAGCAATGGAACATAGAATACAAATGTTAGAGACAAAGAATAAATTGACCTCATTTTTTTTGTCCTGTCACTGACAATGGAAACTAACATTGAGATGAATTCATGGGTGGTCTTTGTGTCAAACACTTCTCCCAAAAGAAGCCATCAGTACTGTTTTATACATTAATGTTGGTATTAAATCAGGAAATATCTCTAACTAGGGAAGTATCTAATTATTTAATCCAAAGTTTTATTCAAAAGAACTCCTGCTTTCAAAATATGAAGGAATCCTACATATCCACTATTCCTGAGTAATACAGAATAGTATTACTCATAGTAACCACCACAACAACAATAATAGCTCTTTTCTGTACAAGTGACCTCATGCTGGATACTCCATATTTTACATTTATTTATAAATATCTAACCCTTATAATGCTCCTATAAAGTGAATAGTCATTAAGTTAATGTTTGTTCAATGTTTCTATGTCTATTGGAAGGAAGTGACCCACAATAAACATTGCTGCTGCCTGCGCTATTTTTTTCTGATGAAGGGAACAACAGTTAACTAATGAGGGATGATAGAAGAGGGCACTGAGGAGGCTCAACTTATCCCCCTTTTCTATACCTGCTTCTTTTACAGGGGAGGTTTTTGGTTTCTAGGAGACATGTGACTAGCGTTGACCTTCAAGTTGACAGGATATAGAATAACATGGGAGAATGGTCCCTGGGTATGTCTGTGGGGGATTATCTTGATTATGTGGATTAATCTTGGAACACCTATCTTCCAAGTGGACAAAACCGTTACCTAGGCAGGGATTCTGAACAGTATAAAATGGAGGAAGCAATCTAACCAGTATTGCATTATCTCTCTCTACTTTTTGATTGCAGAAGCCATGTGACTAGCTCCTTCAGGCTCCTATTGTGATTTCCCTGCCATTTAAGTATAATCTGGAGCAGTGAATCAAAATAATATATTTCTTCTTTAAGTTGCTTTTGTCAGAGTATTTTATCACAGCAATGGGGAATGAAACTAAGATACATGCACAATGGTACTATTTATTGCCAAGAACAATAGGCTTTTTCTACAGTGAGAGCCCAGTTTTTCTACAGCAGTTAGTTACTATCTGGGTACTATTTGGTTCAAGTACAAATACTATTTTAAACATACATCTGTAGGTTCTAATAGCATCTTCTCCAAAATATTTTGTTTTCTATTTGATTTATACATTTATCTCAACTTACTTTGCAGCAAACGTTTGATGAATGTGTGTTATTTATCAACTCCAGTCCCAATGATCAGTCTCCTGTACTATACCAGTAGGAGAAATAGAAGCATAGAAGGCGTAAACAAGTCCTTTGTAATCATATATTTGGGCTTGAAACCGAGGTTTCTGAACCTACCTACACAGCCAACATTTTCACTATGGTGTCCCCAGAAGTCCTTTGTTTAACATCACTATATTCTCTCAGATTAGGAAACAGAAAGACACAGGACAATATTTGTAGTCACTGAGATCAATGAATGTAAGGAATCTCAGAGCCCCTGACTGGGGTAATGTATTTTCAACACCACACAATTTGATCTAGTTTCTATAATTGCATCATCTAGAAGAAAGTCACAGTCCAGGAAGGTGGGAACTACTGCATCTACTTAGTGAGTGAACTATAGTCAATAGTTTATTATTGAATAAGATAACTATACCAAAGGTTAACAAATGTCCTTGTGTTATTAGACAAGAGTAGTAAGATAAAAATGTAGGCATAATCCAAATCACTTTTGTCTACCCCAGATATGCCATACAAACTTAGGAAAATATTCTTTTGCTTCACTTTTGACTATTTTATAATATATCCAATGAACTATGATTATTATCATCCTCCTTACCCTCTGTTATCCTTCATCCTTTCCCTATAAACCCCACCTTATCAGCTTGGTACCACACTTGGAGAAAATGAAATCTCTTTCCCTCCAGCAACCTGATTCATTAGCTCCTCCAAGAAAAGTTGGGCCATTATAGGCTCCCCTTCTATCCATGATGGATGCTGGTGGTCCCAGCCTTATGCAGGTATCCATAGCTGTTTTGCATCCATGGTGGCAATTGCTGTGTCATATCTAAGTGGTACTGTTTCATGACATTCTTCCCCACCTTCCAGCCCTGAAATTCTTTGCAAATTTCTCTTTGCTCAGCCATCAGATGTAAGTTTTATTTCTGATAGTTGTTACCTTTGCATACATAATTCAGAGCAATTAGGTCAAAGTAGCTGTCTGCTTATCCCTGAACATTAATACCTTATTAAAATGGCAAATATTCACTGGATATATTATTTTGTTGTCCCAAATGATCAGTATGAAACATATAGCTTCTAATGAGCTGCATTAATTGCTAGCATGCTTACCTGGAAAGGAAAAGTAGACTCTTCAGCATCTGCATGGAGATCGACCTTTGCTTGTCTCCACTGAGTTTCAGGGAACCTGGTCACTTCACCCTGCTTTAGCAAACTGCCCTTTAATGATGTTCTTGTAAAAACAGAGAGACTAGAGTGCTCAGATAAATGATACCAAAACAGAACCTGTGGAGAAAAGTTTGGAATTATATATCTATTCATTTAACTACCTAGTGTAATTTGTCAATAATTTAAAATAGCAGGCCATTAATAGGATTGCACATGGCATAACCAGATTGCCCTGACATTCAGTCTTAAATGGAATGTCTCTGTCAAATCCCTCCCTTCAGGGCTCAGAGAACCCTGAAGGGAAAAAATGTAAGAACCATAGGAGATGGAGAAAACCAAGAAAATATGTTTTTTTAAATCAACACAATCAAAGTAGATAAAAACTCATAGAGACTGAAGCGACCTGCACAGGGCTTGCAGAGGTCTGCACCAGATGGGGTCCTAGAGTTAAAAGAAGTGGACATATGCTGGAAGCTTATGTCCTAGAAACTATCTCTGATTAATAACCACCTGTAAAAGAAAGTTTAGTTTTCTCCAAGGGGTCTCACTAGAGAAATGAACTCTTAAGGGTAGGCTACAGCAACAGCAGATCAACAGAAAACAAACTGAATCTCTTTGGAGGTTCCTCCTCATCTTATAATGTTGTCTCGGGGCTTCTTTTTTCTTTTAATTTTAGTTTTATTCTTATTTTAACTTTGCTATATTTTATTTATGGATTATTCTCTCTTTTTAGCCTTCAGGTGCTTTGGGTGTATATTATGGCTCCCCAGTTTAATGTTTTTAAGGGATTCTAGAGTGTATGGATGAGTGGGTCTCTGGGCACATATCTGTTTCTTGTGCCTTTTCCCCTCCTGTTTGTTTGTTTTGTTCTATTCCAATGTGTTAGTTTTTGTTTTGTCACATTGTATTATATATTATATTTTATGCTATAAAAGCCTGTTTGTTTTTAAATGATAAACAAAAAGGGGGTAGATCTGGATAGGAGGTGAGAGGAATGTGGAGGAACTGTGAAGAGTAGAGAGAGGGCAAGACTAATCAAGATATATTAAATGAGAAAAATGTTTTCAATAAAAGGAAAAGAGAAAATAATGAGCCAGTACTATGACTTTTGCTTCTGTCAAAAACCACTGTTCAATACCCATGACCAACTCATTTTCTCTGTCCTTCAGACACCCACATACATACCCCCTAAGTACATATAATAATTTCTTTTAAAAATAAAATTAAAATATCCCAGGATACTTCAATAAAAAATGTGACTGTTTTTTCTGTCCTTAAAATGTGCAATTACACAAAATACTAATTACTTCCATTGAATCTTTTATATTTCTGTCCTTTGAAAAATATTTGGGCACATGTATAAGTGGTTATTTTTAGCATTTGTCAAAATTGTATCAATAAGTTAGATAAAAATGTGCCCCAACAAAATAAGTTTGAGGATATGTCTTTGCCAGCATAGCCATGTATCCTCCAACTCTACCGAAAGAGAAGTTTCCTTGATCCCTACCCTACAACTTCTTATAACTCTGGGTTGTACAAATCATGATTCAAAGTTACAACATTGGGAATAGTTATGTATGCTATTTTTATTCAAACCCAAATCAGTAAAAGCTTTCTCTGAAAATTAGTTTTTTCAATACAACAAAATTATAACAAATAAGTTCATTAATTTTTCTATTATGATATTATTGATGAAAAGAATGCTGATGGGATATTACTCATCAATAATTTAAGGCACATAAAATATCCTTTAGGAGGTTAGAAAGTTTTAATCATTTTACTCCTTAGTCATCATTAATAATGACAGCATCCTAGGAGCTGGAGGCTTAACTATGCACTGACGAGAATAAAGTGAGTTCTCTGTTTGCCTGTAACATCAGTAGCTCTAACACAGAATCAGAACTCAATTGTTCTACCAACACTCTCAGGCACTTTCTCAGGACCCGGTACTGAGTAAGGAAAAGATGAATCCTTTCAGTCTGGGGATGATTCATTCTGCATAATATTTTTTCAAAACTTCCACAAAATGAACTTCAGATGCACAGTGATTTTTCATCTTACCCATTACCATATAGAAAGCACTAAAGCTATAGAGACATCTTAAAGAAAAATGAAACATTCAAAGAGGAGTTTTTGCTGGAAAGAAGAAGATGTGTTTTAAATGTTCATTTTTAGTTCTTCAGTTCAAGATACTAACCACTCTGTGTCTCAATTTGTCGTTTTTTCCTGTGTAGATGTGCTTGCCAAAACATCGTTTCTGATTGTCTATTTTATCTTAGATTTTGTTGCCATGCTTACCTAAGTTCAGACCTTGACAGGTTAATTAGAAATGTAAAACCAAAGGGAAGCATTTAATTAAATACCTTGGAAAGTGAGGACTTGGTCCTCAATGGCAATTAAATTTTAGATCCCTGCTGTAAGACTCACCATGTTCCCAGCTTGTGAATATGCAAAAGAGAGCTTTAAACCTGGTTGTGTAGGAGAAGCTTATACCCCATCAGTATTTTGAGCTGTCAAGCTGTCACTCAGCTCTTCACTAGTGTGAAGTCATTTTAATAGTTACTAAACATAAATGCCAAGGAGATCCATATTCAACAGAACAGGAGCTTATGAGTTATATTTAAGAGAATTTTCATTGTAGAGATATAAATTCTTGAGCTTAGTACAGACCAAACAACCTTCCAAAGTCTCTCCAAATTTAGTACTGTTTAGGAAGAAGTCATTGAACAAAACTTAAAACAGCTGAGATTTCAAATAGATACTCATGAAGGGTGAAAACCCAAAGACTCTCAATCTGGCATGCATTCAATGGTAAACCATCATGCTTAAACTCAAACTCATGAGGCATCTCTTAAATTCCTTGCAGACCCGTTACAGCAATTTGTGTGTAGTAGATATTCCATTAACACACTGAAGGAGAAAAGGGGAATACATGGACTGTATAGGGGTCTTGTTTCTGTAAACATTTAGAGGGAAAAAGGGGGAGCAATAGAAAGGGAGAGAAAATAATCAAGGGGGAGGAAAGGAAAGAATCTATAACAGATAATGCATAATGCCCTGAATGTCCTTAGGAATCTAGTATATTCAGTGGGAGTGGGGGAAGATGAGGAACACTGGTGCAATTACAAAGGTATAACAGGTTGTAGATGTTTAAACCTAAATTAAAAAAAAAACAGCAAAGAGAAAATGTATGTAATACTCAGCATCGTAAGAGCACAGGAGCCACAAGGATCTACTACTGAACACAGCAACAAACCCAACACAGGAAATTTCCCAACACTGTAGAATATCGCTTTAAACAGAGTGCAGTGAGTGCTTAAAATTATTCCATTATAGACAGTCAAATGCATTATTAATATAAAGACCCATTTTTTTACATTTGGTTTCACTTGGGTATAATTTTTGTGGAATATATCTATTCAAGGCCGAGTTATTGTATTAGAGAGACCTTCATTTGATAACAAAAGCTCCCAAAGAGCAGAGTATTGGTGGAGACTTGTAATCAAAGCACTTAAGACACTGATATAGAAATAGTAATTTTGAGGCCAGCTCATGCTACTTAGAGAGCTTTTAAAAAAATCCTATGGAACAATTTCTTAACTGATAATGAGAGAGAAAATTTAAATTCAGCTTATTTTATTCTCTATAATTGTCTTGTATTATTTATTTTAATATGGATGTGAAGTTAGGTACTATAGCAAATACCTATTATCCTAGCACTCAATAAGCAGAAAGATAAAGAGTTCAATGTCATCCTCAACTATAGAGTGAGGTCCAAGTCAGGCTGGCTACGTGAGACAGTGTTTCTAAACCGGGGAGGGGGAGTGGAAAGTTGGCTCAGGGATTAAGAAGACTGTCTGCTTTTCCAGAGGATCCAGGTTCAATTACCAGCACCCAAATGACAGATCACAAATGTCTATAATTCCAGTTCTAGGGTATCTGATGCCTTCTTTTGGCCTCTGAGAACCAGGCAGATATGTGATATAGAGATATACATGTAGGCAAACTACCCATATGTATGTCTCTTAATGCATAAACATGTATAGACAAACAAGCATACAAGCACACGTACATATGCAATTTAGTACAAAGGGGAGGCTCCTTTTCAGGTGACTGACACCAGTAAGCCAGTGAGCTAGATCTAGTGACTCTGCTACTTAAGTCTATAAACAACACCCTGGAACCTTACTTGGAATTCAACTCCATTTCCTCCATCTCTCTGTTTTCTTTTTCATTCAGTTTTAATCTATCTTCATTCAAAAACTTGCCTCAAACTCTCTATCTCTTTCCTCATATCTCTTATAGTCTTTGCCCCAAGGTCTTTCTTTGTTGATTTGAATGAAAACATCCCCATGGGCTGCAGCATTTGAGTATTTGGTGGCCAGTTGGTGGTGCTGCTTTGGGAGGTTTAGGAGGTGTGACCTCTCAGGACGGAGTATGTCACTGAGAGTGGGTTTTGGCAGTTTAAAGCTTCATGCCACTTCCTATTTGCTCTCTGCTTCATGCTTGTGGCTAAAGCTGTAAGCTTCCTGATGCAGCTGCCATGACTACTGCTCGCTGCCATGCTTCTCCTTCATGATGGGCTCTTATCCCTCTGGAAGCATAAGCCCAAATGAACTCTTTCTTCTGTAAGTTGCCTTGGTGTATCATTTTATCAATGCAACCCTCCTTCATGTCCACCTTTGGCCTGGTTTTCTCATGAGCATTTTTTGAAAGAGAACATTGTGAATGATGTTCAAACAAAGCCACTTTTAAATAATTGATGAATAGTTGGAGAATTAATTAAAACCACTGAAGGCTCAAGGTTCACATTATCAGACTTTCTGTATTTAATGGCAAAATTCTAAAAGGAAAACATTGTGGGTTTTGTGCAGCAACAAATGGATACTCAGAAAACATTAATGCTCACATTAATCTCCTTCATATTTCATATTTTCCAGCTAATTATAACCAGTAACTACATTTCAACATCAATGAGAAATGATGGCTTCTGGTCTGCATGTGTTCTGTTTGTCCTATCTCCTTTTTGGAGGAAATGTGCCAAGTTTCCACTGGTGGCTGAAGTGACTTTTGAAGCTTCTAAATTAAAGTCCACACTGTGAACAATGACAAGCTGCAGGAACAATGCACATGTTGGAGCCATGTGTTGCCTTTATATAAAGTACAAGGTAATTCATACAAAATGACCCTAAATTGTGCTATTAGAACAGGTGACTCAGAAGAAAGCTCATGTTCCTTTAAAGTTTTTTTCGAAAACTGGCCTTAATGGTATCAGCCTGATATGACTGTGTGAGGGAAAATATCACATCATTTCATAAGATGGAGGCTTTAATCATATCAAAGTGCCCAACTTGGGTTATTTTATTGCTTTCCCACATTATTTTATAATGAAGAACATTTGTTCCATAAACAGAACTATTATCAATATGTTCTGAATCAGAGAATGAGCCGGATTCTCCAATTACCTAAGAAGATAGGAATTTGGTTTTGTTGCTTACTTTGTTATTTTTATGAAGGCACCATATATTACCCTACACTTATAAATAAGGAAATTTCTGCTCCTCCATTGCCTCCTCTCCTCCTCTCATTCTGGCAGCAATAGAGGAGAGCAGGATGAGATTTGCCATATTAGAGGGAGCCATTATAGGTCTGAAGAGAGATTTGGCACTAGGGAGATTTCCAGAGACCTACAAGGATGACATGAACTGACAATCTAGGCAATGGTGGAGAGGATAACTAAATGCCCTTCCCCTATAATGAGACTGATGACTACTTTTTATGCCATCCTAGAGCCCTCATCCCTCATCCAGTGGCTGATGGAAGCAGAGGCAGACATCCACAGCTATACACTGAACTGAACTCTGGAACTTAGTTGAAAAGAGGGAGGAATGAAGATCAAAGGGGTCAGTACCAGGCTGGTGAAACCCACAGAAACAGCTGACCTGAACAAGGGGGAGCACATGGACCCTAGACTGCTGTCTAGGAGGCCAGCACAGGACTGATCCAGACCCCTAACATGGATGTCATTTAGGAGGCCTCTGCACTCTAGGGGAACCCTGGTAGTGGATAAGTATTTTTCCCTGGTGTAAGATGGGACTTTGAGAGCCCATCCCACGTGAAGGGATGCACTCTCAGCCTGGACACATGAGGGAGGGCCTAAGCCAGGCCCAGGATGATGTGGTGGACTTAGGGGAGCCCTTGTTGAGGGCCCTACCCTGCCTGGGGAGTGGAGGGTGGATGGGGTGGGGAGTGTGGAGGGTGGATGGGGTGGAGGGAGGAGAGGGAGAAGTGATTGACATGTGAAGCAAGCTTGTTCCTAATTTGAACTAATAAAAAATTAAAATAAATAAATAAATAAATAAATAAATAAATAAATAAGGAAATTGTATACACTGAGAAAAAGCCTTTGAATGAGAGCATTAACTATTTGTGTCTCTGGCCACAAATGGCCTCCCTGGCAATCCACAACTAGTTTCTAGCCTAGGATGTGATATCATGTAGCCCAAACTCCTCTCCATCTCAAAGTTGGGTAAAACTGAAGTTGATGCATACAAAAAAGAAAACCAAATACTTCTGCAAGTCTACAGTGGATCTTTGAAGTACTTTCATTTTCCATTTAAATGGGGAACCATTAACTCAGTATCTGAAGCCACTGTTTATAAAGCCTTAGCTCTGAGGTCAATATTAACCATCAGGAATGAGATCTATCTGCAAAACATCCACTGCAAAGCTACACAGTTTACCAAAAACACAGAAACATTTCCTCAACAGGAATTGATGGAAACTTAGTATCCCAATGGCTAACAATTTATGGTCATCAACAAGCATACAGTGATAAAAACTGCAGGACATCTTCAAAACTAGCACACAAACACACACACACACACACACACACACACACACACACAGAGAGAGAGAGAGAGAGAGAGAGAGAGAGAGAGAGAGAGAGAGAGAGAGAGAGAGAGAATCCTGGGCTTTTCAGTGATAGTCAGTGAATCCTAAGGATGTCATGTATTCTTAATACCTGTTTCCAAACACATGAAATGAAGGCAAAATTAATACATCCCATTCCTTTGCTCTTGATGAGTTTTGTGTCTATAACTTAGTGCATGACCTTGAGTTAAAGCTAGGTTAGCTTCTAAAGTACTTTATAAAGTGTGGAGAATTGCTCCTGGGGTTTCTAAAAAAATCTATATTATCCTATCACATAGGGTTTAATTAAAATAAAGGAAAGGTAGAAACATGTTGAGGGCATTTGGATAAGGTAGAAATGGAGGGGAGATAAGCAGTGACTTTAATTTTCATTTCCACAAAGATATTGGGGGGGGTTAAAAAACAAAACAACACAAAAGACAATCTGTTGAGAGCTCCAGGCACTTACACTCAGACCTATCTGAAACTGAAAACATAATTAGATTTATACCTCTGGATGATAAGCAATTCATCATCAAGGATGTCTGAGTAAATGGCTACAACCCTGTATTTAGTGGCATAAATTTATTGTGTGCTTCAGTATTGATCTGTTCATTATTTTCTGATCTGTAAAGACTTAAAAATGAACTGAACTCTAGAGACTTAGAGGCATGTTAAACCTCTCCAAAGGATAGAAAATAAACAAGATGAACAGACACTTCTGATATAAGAGTTAGGTATTACAGAAAGCCGAAAGCCTGTTTAGTAAATACCTATTGTGTTAGTTACCTTTCTCATTGCCGTGCCCAAACACATAATAAATGCAACTTATGTTCAGAAAGGGTTTATTCTGATTCATGGTTTCAGGTTATAATGTATCATGATAGGGATGTCATACAGTGTACACAGCCTTTGTTTAGGGCCACATCCACGCCATGCCAGCTGTTTTCCTTAAAGGATCTACCATGATACTGGCTGGCATGCTCCAGATCTGTGCTTCTCCTTTTCAACTTAGGGTTTGCTTTCCTAGATCCATGTAATAGCCTTTCCTTCACTTCAAGGACTATGTTGCATGACAAAGGTGCATATGATACCTGAGTATATTGCTTGTGTAGTGAGGAAACAGTGAAGATGTTGCTTGGCTTGATTTCACTTTTGTGTTCTTTCAGAACCCCATTCTTTCAGGATGGGGCCTCCCACATTTGAGCTGGGTCTTCCCCAGTTTCAGTGAAGCCTTTCTGGAAACACTATTACGGCCATATCCTAAACTGCCTTTCCATGCTAACTCTTAATTCTACCAAGCTGATTATGAAGATTAACCATGACACCTACTGTATGCCAAGTAGGGCATTGCTTAATTAAATTTTCATACTTCTGGCCATGTGAAGGAAGTACACTAGTGCTTATCATCTCAATAGAGACACTGTCTCCAAAGTCGTGGTCAAACAATATGTACCACAGTTGGAAGGGGCAAACCAGAGATTTAAATCCCTGCCCAAGTATGCTTTCTTCTCTGTTGTACTGAAATGGAATGAAAATTTTACTGCTTGTTGTGTGTTTCACAGCAATAACAACCTCACTGACTCACTGAAAATACAATTTCAACAAATGTAATGTTTTCTGCATATATTCATCCTTTCTCACTATTTTAGCTTTCTCTCAACAGGCACTTACTTAACTGATTTTATTCTACTCAATTTACACTCTGGAGCAAAACAAGTAGTAAATTAGGCAAAGTACTTCATTCACTTTAGATTATTGAAAGGCCCATGTGAAAAAAAAATGGAATGTAATGAAAGCTACAGCAAGCCTCATAACAGAACAGTGTTGTTGATGGTTTGCAGGGCCTTTCAGAAGGTTGGAGCATTTCATGCTGAAGCAACTCCAATAAACCTCCTAAAGCATCATGAAAATGATGAGAAAAATGCAGCAGGCATTTGCTATCAATGCAGTCTGAGTTCTGTAACTACAGAGCAGTCAAGGGAGGCTAAGAAGAGCTGGTTACCTGGCATGGAGTAGAGGCAGTAAGTGATTTGCTAAGGATAGGACTTCCAAGCCTGGCCAGCCCAGTAGATTGTTTGGGTGCAAAATAAATAAATGATCCTGGAAAAAGAAACAGAAACAAATGCAAAGTGAGTTGCCAGTTCTGGTATACACTTAGCACTTTGCCACCTTGGCCTTCCTCAACTGTAACTTGGGTAAAGAAAATCACATTTTCCCTTATTTGCCATTAGGCCCTGTAAATAACCAGAGAATTTCATATGGATGACATTAAATTTCTAAAATAAAATTTAACTGATAAAAGACAAGCTCTGAATCCAAATTACCTAAACAAACATTTTTATTGCTTTAACTCCTGTCACAGAGTTTGAAATCAAATTAAATGAAGCTTCCAAGTTTACAATTAGATATTCAACATGCCCTTAGGAAATTCTCTTGGGAGTTTAGTTTCTAAGTCTCTTCAAAATGTACTGAAGGAGATGCAAGCATGCAATGAGTCTGGTTCCTCTTGGGGCTTACATGTTTGACATTGTTGTCTGTGCTGGAGGGGATGAGCGCTTAATTAAAGATCTAATCTGAACATTAACAAAATAACTGCTTTTAGATTTTAACTGACATGGACATACTCACAGCAAATGCGCAGGGGATAGCATCTTTTTAGCAGCTTGGAAGATCACACACTCTGAGATGCATGAGGGAGAGCTTCCTTGAATATTGAAAACTCACAAGGAAACCTATGCCAAACAATGTCAGTGTCTAATCCTGCCCTTTGATAATCACAAAGTGACAGGCAGAATACAACACCAACGGGGTCTCTAGGCAACTTAGAGCGCCAACTGCTTTGACTTGGAAAACACCTCATTCGCACAGTAATTTTCCTGGATTCGGGTCAATGCTGATGATACTAAACAGGGGGAGTTCATAATCAAAATGTACTGTTTCATAGACTGCTGTACATATTTATGCAAGCATTCGACTCATGTCACTTTTGCAAAGCCAAGTATCTGTTTCAGGCCATAGCCTGGAAATTAGACTGTGCATGTCCTAAGAATGGAAGGACTAGTCTGTTAGTGAATATAGGCAAACATATGAATACATAAGTACAGAGTAAGTGAAACAAAATGAAACCAAACAAGTTTGGTCGGAGAACAGAACAGCTACTGTTACCATAGTGTTTAAAAATCAATGTTTACAATAAAGAAAGAGGATAATCCAATGATCACATGACTATCACAAAAGAAGCTGAAAAGCTATTTGACAAATTTCAACTCAAATTCATTTTAAAAAAATAATGACTATATCTGAGACAAAAAGAATGTTACAGATAACTGGTTTGAGCAAACATTCCCCTCAAAGTTGATTTTTTTGGTATTTCCCTGGAGATTGATCTACAAGGTTGACCCCAGCTAACAGTTTAAGCAATAGTGGAGAAGCCACCTTAAATGCCCTTCCTCTATAATGATATTGATGACTACTTTATGCCATCCTAGAGCCTTCATCCAGTAGCTGATGGAAGTAGAAGCAGACACCCACAGCTAAACACTGAGCTGAACTCAGGAATCCAGTTGCAGAGAGGGAGGAGTGATGAGCAAAGGCATCAAGACCAGGCTGAGGAAACCCACAGAAACAGCTGACCCAAACATGGGAGAGCTCATGACCCCAGACTGATAGCTGGGAAACCAACATAGGACTATCCCAGAACCCCTGAACAAGGATGTCAGTTTGGAGATCTGGTAGTGCATCAGTATTTATCCCTAGTACACAAATGAACTTTGAGAGCCCACTCCACATAGAAGGATACTCTCTTAGCCTAGACACATGGGGGAGGGTCTAGGCCCTGCTCCAAATATGACAGACTTTGAAGATTCCCCCATGGAAGGCCTCACCCTCACTGGGGAGAAGAAAGGGGATGGGATAGCGGGTTGGTCAGGAGCAGGAGAGGAGGGGAGGGAGAGGGAACTGGGACTGACATGTAAACCAAGCTTGTTTCTAATTTAAATTAAAAAAGGAAAAAGAAAAAGAATGTACACCATCAGAACACTACCCCCATATTAACCCACACACCTACAAACACCTGATTTTTTACAAAGAAGCTAAATTTATACAATGGAAAAAAGAAAGCATCTTCAACCAATGGTGTTGGCATAACTGGATACTGACATGTAGAAGACTGCAGCTAGATCCATATCTATCACCATGCACAAAACTTAAGTCCAAATGGATCAAAGACCTCAACATAAACCCAGCCACACTGAACCTCTTAGATGGGTTTACATTTTTAAAACAGTTCCTATCTACTGGCCCATGTACTAAGGGAGGAAACTGCCTGAGAAACACATAAAATAGGACTAGAAAGAGATGAGTCAGCATTAAACAGTGCTTACTGCCATTTCAGAAAGTCTTAGTCTAGACTACTACTGTCTCCAAGAATTCCTCTATTCTGACCTGTGCACTGGTGGAGGAAACTCATTGAGAATAAGCACATAAAAGGGGCGGCTGTACACTTATTTCCCAAGGTGACAAAGGACCCAGAATGGTAACCAACTACCAAGAAAAATATTATAAGCATTGGATAGAGCATAGAGAAGTGAAAATGTGTATCACTCAGGACTGAGACATAAACAGTTCAAATCTCTTCAGTGAATTAATAAAATGTGGTTTGTCCACACAATTGAATATTACTCAAGAGCTAAAAAGGAGGAAAATTACTTTAATTATTAGCATGAACAAATTTAAAATCCATGGTACTAATTTAGGAAGGCCAAAATCCAGAACCTATATAGTGTCTGACCTATTTACCTACCACTCTTTAAACAGATAATAAATTCCAAATAGGTGTCAACAGGTGACAGTGGTTGGGTAAGGGAGCTGTGTCAACTACAAAGTCACATTTGGGGGAATGGAATCATTCTATATCTTGATTTGTTTGGTGGATACAGAATTGTATGTGTTTTAAAACTCACTGTTCTCTTTACTAAAAAGACTATACTATATTTCAGGATTCACACAAAAACATGAATAATGAATCATAATTTATAATGTGTAGGAATGTCTGTGAGCTAAATACATACAAACACTATGTATACATCTGTGATCTGTGTATGATTTGGCGAACATACACAAAGGGGGAGGTGACCTATGAGCAGCCTGGTTGAGGTTTTAACAGAGCAGTTAAGAATGGGCAAAGAGCAAACAAGGAAAGAGAAGGAAAAGAAGACCAGTAGTCTACTACAAAACCACACCTAAATACCCACACAGTACAGCATCAGGCACTCTGCTTTTTGCAAAACTATACCTAGTTATGTGCATGTGTGTGATGAAACAGTGGCAATTAGTTTTAAAAGCTGTAACTTAAAAAAAAATTAAAGCTTCAAAACCAAAACTGGGTTAGAGCACTGAGGCATTGTAATGGGACTCCACTCTGTTCCCATGGAAACTTCCATTTATTTGCCTTATTCCTCTTCCTCATCCTGGTTCTCCTTCTCCTCACCTCTGATTTAAAAATACTACTGGGTCAGATTAGGTGGCTCAGTGGGTAATGGAACTTGCTGCCCCAGACCTGAGTAGGATTCCTGAGTAACTGATTCATGGCACAAAGAAAGAACTGATTCCCAAAAGTTGTCCTCTGACACCTAACCTATTCAAGTGCATCACACACACACACACACACACACACACACACACCTCACCTCACCTATACTTGTTTTAGTGCTACTATGTTGTGGAATATTAGTTTGAAATGTGTTACATTCATTTATGTTGTGGAGTATTTGTTTAATGTGTTGCATTCTTTCATGTTACATTTGTTTAATTCTGTAAAACTGTGTTATTTTGCCTGTCAAAACAACTGATTGGTCTAATAAAAAGCTTAATGGCCAACAGTTTGGCAGGACAGAAAAATAGGCAGGGCTCCCAGGCAGAGAGAATAAATAGGAAAAATCTAGGCTTGAGGAAAAGACTAAGAGGCAATAAGAGGAAAACACCAGAGGCCAGTCACCCAGCCACACAGCCTGCCACAGAGTAAGAAGTAAAGAAAGATATATAGAATAAAGAAAGGTAAAAAGTCCAGAGACAAAATGAAGAAGAGAAATGGGTTAATTTAAGTGAGAAAAATGGCTAGAAACAAGCCAAACCAAGGCTGGGTATTCATAAGTAAGAATAAGTCTCATGTATTTATTTGGGAGCTGGATAGTAGGCATCCAAAGAGAAAAACAAAACAAACAAACAAACAAAAAAACACAACTACACCACCACCACAAATATTCAATGATACTAGTACTGAGATTCAACACTGGTGTTTTCCCAGAATCCCTGTTTGAACAGCCATTTGATCTCTTACTACATGAAACAAACAAACAAATCAAAACATCAGCAAAGCATAATTCCTATTTAATGTCTCATAGAAATCTTTCATGAGTAAATATGGGAGGACTTTATTTTCCCTATATTGTAGCTAACAAAGCTGAAGTACTTTTATACAATATAATTGCCATAGCACAGCCCTGGATAGTCTCACAACCCCTGGTCATGATGAAGTCACATCAAACCACAACATAGCTGTGCACAGATTCCCTTTGGAAATCTCAGCTTCTGCTCAGGCCCTCATGTTCTGCCACTGATACTACATATCCTGTCCCCAGATTTCATCCAGATAGCCTTCTGCAGCAAATATGTTTCATCGTAGTCTTCAATTGGCTTTCTATTATCCTCTACAAATTTCAAAGCCCTGAATATTCTCTCATTTTCTCTCTTTTGTCATGTATAATCAGATGAATGTCTCAAACAGAAATCCTAACAATAGTCTCATCCCCCTTCATGACGTTTTCCCAGTTGAAGCCTGTCTCTTGTACCCTTCCTTGATTTGCTGCCTCCTTACAGATCCTTCTGTCTTCTTCCTTGGCTCCTTGTTTCCCTTCAGAAATGCCGTACTCATTCTCAGTTAAGCTCCTCCACCTCTCTTTAATCCCATGCTCCAGCCCTTACAACTTTCAGCATATATGACTGCTATCCCTTGCTTGCCATATTAACTACCAGGCTCTGCCAGCATCAAATACAGAGACCATAGCTTCTCCCACCATACACCTAGCTCTGATCCATTCTATTGCCTTGGGTACTGAAAAAGGAACAATACATAACAGCTAACAAAGAAAATCGGTACTCATATCTATTTCAAACTTTAAACTTAAGTCACCATGGACAGAATATTAAAAGGCTTACTGGACCAATAAGATTTGTGTTTGGCATTCTTCTTTATAGATCTCAAAGGAGAAGTACTATGGTGCCCAGTGAGTATGAAAATGATCTAGACTCCCAACTGTGTGATTACAAAGTTAATGTAATATTAGGTGTGTGTGTGTCATGCCATAGAAATGTAAACAAAACAAAGAACTAGGGAGCAAAGCCATTATGAGTGCCTGAGAGTATCACAGAGCATTTTTAGAATATTGCTGGTAGTTTTGGTTCCTTGACTTTACAATAATATGTAAAAGTTGTAATGATGTTTTGTAGTATATAGTCTAAAGTATTTTCAGGTTTTATAGATACTGCTGAATCCTTGTTCTCTGTTTCCAGATAGAACATGAGACTGTTTTTTCTTCCTGTTTTGCAAGACTTGGAATGTTTAAAGGAAGGAAGCAAGCCTACTGTAAATTCATCAGAAATCTTATCTCCCTCTTTACATCATCACTATAATATTTTTTTTAAAAAAAATACAACAATAAATTGACAGTTGTCACAAGACTGCTCCTTTCAGGACATAACAATTAGCTACTAATTACTAATCAGGCCAGGAGGAGTTAAGGTAAGACAAACCAAAGCTCCATTTAGTCTGTATTTAGAACAAAACTGCACCGCATCAGCATCTCAACATGAATGAAAACCCCTTTAAAAGAAGCAAAAGCCTTACCATGGTTTTTGCTCTCTGTGCCACCAGCCTCAGGAAATTGGTGTTCTCCAAGGCTCAGCCCTTCCCCCACCTCCCAGTGGGAGTCTCCTGTGAGAAATGGTTCCCAGCCACAGAAGCCAGACTCGAAGTCCCAGGTGAGGTGCCTTGCTGTAATGTGTGGAGAAGGAAACATGAATACATGATGATGGATTTGTCTTTACCAGCAGATATTTTCACTTTGTAAAAGAATTTTCTCTAAATAAAGACCAATCAACTACCAAGAATTAAAAACAAACACACAAAACAAAACTGTCATGAACTACTGTAACACAGGAATGGAGTTCACTCCCTCCCTCAGCTGAAACCTATTCCTCCTGGATAATCTTTCCTTTCTGGGACTCTGGACACGCAGTTTAGAAGTTGTGGTTATTGATAAAAAGTAACTCCCCCAAAGGGAGTCTATTCTGTGATTGACACAATCATAAAGACCTATAAACTACCTATGGCTGTCTCCTCCTTGGCCATTCACAAAATGTTCTTTGGTTATCATCTGTGAGCTTAGCTAACTGTAGACCAACTCACATCTCTTTTAAGTCAGGAAGCAAAGTGTAAAAATAAGACATAAACTATATACTTCATCTCCAAATTGTGCCCTGAAGTCCTAAAGTCTTGGCTGTGGCCTGAGCCTTTCCACTTATTCCCGAGAGATCTCCCAATTCATAGAAATACTTCCTCTAAAGTAAAAATCCTCTAGTACAAAGTGACAACATTTCTGGCTTGGTTCAGAACTGCCTCCATTATTTCCCTGCTTTCTGAACATAATAATTAATACCTCTTGTTTTCTGCCTTACTTTCCCTAACTGGGTATTATGCTCAATATTACCTAATTTGGGGACTATATGTTACATATTATTGCCCAAAGGAAGAAGGTCCATGTAAATAATTCTTCTTGGTGTAGCAGCTGGCTGCCACAGATGCAATCGTACTAACTACTCTCAGGGCAATGTGTGCAAAATGGAGTGTGTTACATGATCTCTGCATCTCCAAACCTTTGGGCAACTAAAAAGGTGCAAAACATCAAGATAAAAATGATAATTTTTGTAAATGTTGAAATCATCTACAGAACAAAATTTGGAGTCATGTCTTTTTTCATCAAAATGTTTTATCAGCCAAAAAGTCAGACTAGTGAGATGGCTCAGGGGTACTGTGCTGTGATGCAAGCATGAGGGCTTTAGTTTGGATCCCAGCCCACATGAAAATGGCTGCATGCCTCTGCAATTGCAGCCCTAGTCAGGTGGAAGAAGGCAGATCCATGGAGCTGACTGGCCAGTCTGGGAATTCCAGATTCAGGGAAGAAACACTGTACTCAAAAAAGAGTAGCATTTTGTGAATAATAGGATCAGGATGCTGATAGAAAAAGCCTGAGCACCTCAACAACATGTCTTCAAGATTCCATCTGGACATCAATGCTACAATTTCTCTTGAATTAAGATTTTAGACAAACAAAACAAGGAAACAAGGTAGACAGCAATAGAGAAAAACAGTATACGAACCTCTAGTTTCCACGCATCCCCAAGCATCTGCACGCACACAACACATATACATAGACCACACCCAAACAAAATAAATGCATAAGTAAAAAGTAATGTCTAAAAAAGACATAAAAAATAAAAATTAATGTCTAATATTATGCTTTCCACAGAACAATAAACATTCACTATTCTTTGGAAATTAAAATAAATTTGTAAAATCTATCACCATAAAGATTTGGGAAGGAAACATTGTATAATCTCTGTGAAAACATAGTGAACCACTCAGGTGTTTTCATTGATGACATTTTTTATGGTGCATTTACAAGGAATGATTTTTTACAAAATAAATATTTTACACCTTACCTGCTGTATAGTATGAAAATCTAATTGTACTCCCTTATATTGAAGTTTTATATTAATAATGTATCCACTAAATATTTCAACAAGTTTTGGCGAAGTAGTAAATATCAGGAAAAAAAAACCTAAGGTCAAAGATATAATGACAACTTGCCATAAGTGGGACAAACGCTATACATGTGTAAAACTTAAATAATGTATCTCTGCCATAAAATAAAGTAATTTTGATTATCTGGTCACTTTCACCTTGCTATAAACATGTTATAATCACAGTTTCAAAGAAATTTCTCTCCTTGTTAATTTGTTAAGGTAATGTTTTCAGGTGTTGATGAAGCTTTCTCATAAATATTTAACTGTAGTATAATATAGGCAAAAATGAATTTCATTCATGAGGATGTGACTCATAAAAGTAAAATATTTATGAATCTTTTGTGTCAGTTCTTAATGCTATATGAGAAAATCTTCTATGGGAGCTGATGGGAACATCTTATTTAGTGACTGTATATTGGGTTCTAATAAGGGTAGATCATAAATATGAGATTGATATTTGTGAAACCCACAGTGACCACAGCTCTAACCTCACATACAGTTGAGTACAGCATACTCTCTATCACAAGATCATCTCAGTATCCACAAATATTTTAAAGTTGAAAAAAAAACTCTAGAGACAGTGCAATAGTAAAACAAAATGCATTGCTCAATATCCTTGATCTCCATGTCTTTCACTTAAGTTTTATATGTTTAACTCCCCAAATATTTACAATTCATATTAGCATTCTATTAATGTGTTTATTAGGTAGCACAGGTCCACCTCAAATTACCATTCTCCTGCCACAGACATAGAATTAGAAGCAGGCGTATTAGCATTCTACAAGATTTCAAATACCCTACAACTGAAATAAAAAAATTCCCCCCAACCAAACTCCCCCTATTATTTTGTTTTCAACACAGACATGTCTACCCTCTTATCATTTTGAGAACACAGTAGAAAAGATTGTATAAAATATATTTGACAACCTACTTTCTTTATAATTTTCACCTACAAAATTAGGAGGCATTATTTATGTGGCAACTGCCACACATCTGCAGAGCTTACCACCTTCTGAAGCCATGGCTTCATTTCCATTCAACAGTAACTTCAACTGTCTCTTCTCCACCCCAGCTTGGTAATGACTGTTCTGCTTTCTATGTCTATGAATCTCACAGGTCTAGGAGCCTCATCAAAATGGAATCATGTAACATTGATTCCTCTGTGTCTGACTTATTTCACTTTGCACAGCATATCCAAGTTTTATCTATCTCAATATTAGATACATTTTTTATGTGACAGCTGCTTACATAGGAATATGGTGACTGTCTAAGGGTATGCTTGACAAACATCCTATTTTAATCATTTTGATAGAAATATCTAAAATATTCACTGTAAATGGAAGAGAGGGTGACACGACAATGAAGGGGAAATGAAGGAAAGAGAAAAAGGAGAGAAAGTGGTAGGAGAAAGGAAAGGGAGAGGGAAGAAGATAAATGATCCAGATTTTTTCTCATCTGTCACAATAAAATCCTCTTCCTGTGTCCATATGATACTATACTTAAATATGCATGCCAAGTGTATTGATGCATAATTGATGAATAAATTTAAATATTTAAAGATATGCAACACAGAGATTGCTATATGCACATTGTAAAATGCTTATGATAAGAAAGGTGGGTATCACATCATTTGTGACATTGTATGACCGATAATAACACTTAAATCTGTTCTCATTATTGCTTTAGTGAATTTCACATCTTCCTTATCATTGAGGGTAGTGACCATTCTGTAATTGGATCATCTGTGTCCTTGTCCTCACCCCCTTTAAACACTGTCTTTCCGTTGCTTGACATATTTCCATACAGGTGTAATCACAGAGTATGCTCCTTAGCCAGTCATTTCACTCCACAGTCATTCGTGTTACACACACTAGATGTTCCTGTGTTTCTATTCCTCCGTAAACTTTATATAAGTCTCGAATTACTTTTAATCTATTTTTATACTGGCAGTGGATTACATTGTTTTATTTTGTCTATTGTGCAGAAAGTGGCAATGAACATGGTGACACAAATATATTTGGATAGTAACTTTGTTTACTTTATACAAGATCATAGTAAATGTCAAAACCCTGCTTTTGTATTATAATGGAGTTTTTAAGTGAAATAATGAGTGCCTAGTGGTCTCTATTGTTGGAGGCCACAAATTACTTTGCCTTTAGTTTTTACGTGAGTTTTAATATGCCATCTGTTTATACCCAGAGCTGTCTTCATTTTTAGAATCCTCTTTCTCAAGGTGGTTCACAAAGCTCAACACGCAGATGAATTATTGGGGGCCATGTTAAACTGCAGCATTTGTTTCTGTAGGGCTGGTATAGGGCCCACATTTTGTCGCTGTGATCCAGGTGCAAGGTGAATCTGCTGTCAAAGTCCACAAAGTTCAGGACAAAAGCAAAATACCAGCAAGCCCAGTGATGCTTTCCATTCACTTGCCTTTGACAATCCACTGAGTACAAGCTTAGTATGCACTTTCACTTAAAAAGCACCTGAAAGCAATGGCTCTAAAGAGCATCTATGTAAGGATGTCTTTCCAGAAAGTCACACTGTGTATAGATTATCAACTGGAAATCACCATAAATTAGTATTTACAAAGTTTCTGGGATATCATAAATATTTCTGCAGCTGCACAAATTACATACACCATGCTGAGGGAGATGGGACCTGAATTCAGATCCCAGCATCATGTACAAAATTAGGTGTGACACTATGCACCTGTAATCCCAAGCCTGGGGAGGTGGAGACAGGTGGATCCTTGAGGTTGTTGGCCAGCTAGTGCAACCAAATAAATGAGATTTGGGTTCACTGAGAGATGTCTCATATGGAGTATAGCAACAGAGGGAGACACCAGACTTCAACCTCTTTTCTCTCCCTCCTGCATGAATATATGTACTCAAACACCACACACACACACACACACACACACACACACACACACAC